GCCTTAGCCGGTTGAGCTATAGGCGCTGAGCCGACATCAGAAATTCTTAAAGGTCCCTTGGTGATTACAGTGTGCAGCAGAGGTTGAGAACAATCACCCCTCTGGAGGCAGATCCACCTGGGATTGAAACTTATTCCCATCCCTAACCCATTGTTTGACCTTTACCCTCTGACCCTCTGATTCCTGTCTGCAAAATAGAGAGCATCCTATCTACTTGGGCAGCTAGTGTGAGGATTAAAAGCATATGTGCAAAGTGCTTGCCATGGAGCTGGGCATGTGGCTTTCATAGACTTTGGTTGGGTGCCTCTTGTCCTAGTAGTCAAGTGTCCCCAAGGTCAATGACAGCATGGTGTCAGGGCCTCTGCAGAATAAGCAACTGGTTCCCCCCCTCCTGCGTCTTCACTCTGGACTGCTAACACTCAGTTTTCTGTCTCCTTCTCCCAGGTCATGATGAAGGCCCAGGCTCAGGATGGGCTGCCAAGGGGACCACGAAGAGCTGGAATCGGAGAGCCCGAGAGAGCCCTGGGCAGGCATTGGAGCCAGACAGGACTCAGCTGAGCCAGGACCTGGGAGGGGGCACCCTGGCCATCGACACATTGCCAGATAATAGGACCAGGGTGGTGGTAAGTGCTGGAGGAATGTGGAGGAGGAGTGAGGTGAGAATGAGGATGTCTCACCAGGTGCCCCGTGTGTACTTGCCACACATGCAAATCACAGCCTTTGGTGTTGGCCCTGCACCTGCAGGTCAGAGTGAAGAGAAGGATCCCACAGGAAGGGATGAAGCAGGGCCTGGATTGGGTTGTAACATCGTCATATCTCAGTGCTTTATAGGCTGCCTACCTCCTCCTGGACCCAGAGAGGGAAAGTGACTTGCTCCAGAACGTACAGTTTGGTCATGGGGTTCCTGACACCAGACTGTCCCACAACCTAGGGAAGAAAACGCCGACAAGTGGCATTGTCAGTCACATCCTAACTGCTAGCTTGGGACCCTCCCCAACCCCATTTCTGCCCATCTATAGACTGCGGGCACCAAAGAACTAATGGCTGTAGAGGCACAGACTGCTGAGCCTAAGGGCAGGGCACTGTGCTGGGGGATGAGTAAAGAGAGGTATTAGGGTACAGCTCAGGAAAGAGCCTTCTCTGCCTGGGGCAGTTCTGGGACAGAGCTGAAGGCCAGGAGGAAGTGCCCTCCTTATAGACTCTCTGGGGCCTCTGTGTGTTGTGAGGGAATCTTTAATCATGTGCTTCTGGGCATGTATGTTCACACTGTTAACAGAACCAAACTGGGGTCAGTTTGCCTAGCACAGCAAAGCCAAAATTGACACTGAGATTCATTCACAGCAAGAGAAAGGAAGGCATTTATTGCATGGTGCCAAGCAAGAGCACTCAGCTAATGCTTAAGATCCAAACTCCCGAGTGGCTTACAAGCAAAGGTTATTAAAAGCTGAGGTATGTTTCAGGAAAGCAAGAATTATAGGGAAAATCATAAATCAATACATGGAGGTCATACATTGCTTTGGCCCTCGAAGACAGGGTATCATGAAGCAGGGGCTTATGGCTTCAGAGATGCTTTGACTGGCTTTTTTTTTTTCTTGAGACAGAGTCTCACCTTGGGTAGAGTGCCCTGGCATCATCTTAGCTCACAGCAACCTCAAACTCCTGGGCTCAAGTGATTCTCTTGCGTCAGCCTTTTGAGTAGCTGGGACTATAGGTGCCCACAACAAAACTGGGCTAATTTTTCTATTTTTGTAGAGCTGAGGTCAGCTACCATGCCCGGCCTGATTAGTGTTGATTAAGGAAGCAAGGTCTTGTCTAAAAACGTGGGGTCTGGTTGGGCACGGTGGTTCATGCCTATAATCCTAGCACTCTGGGAGGCCAAGGCAGGTGAATTGCCTGAGCTCAAGGATATGAATGTTTTTGGTTTTTGTTTTGTAGTTTGGCCAGAACTGGGTTTGAACCCACCACCCCCAGTATATGGAGCCGGCGCCCTATTTCCTGAGCCACAGGCGCTGCCCCTGAGCTCAAGGAGTTCGAGACCAGCCTGAGCTAGAGTGAGACCCTGGTCTCTAAAAATAGCTAGGTCCTGTGGTTGGTGTCTGTAGTCCCAGCTAGTTGGGAGGCTGAGGCAAGAGAATCGCTTGAGCTCCAGAGTCTGAGGTTGCTGTGAGCTATAAATGACCAGGGGGCGACAGAGTAAGCCTCTGTCTAAAAAGAAAAAAATAAATAAATAAGTAAATAAAAATCTGGGGTCAGCAGAAAGGAGCGTTGAAGTTTAGTGTGTGGGAGTGGCTATCTCTAGAGCCTTCTGGAAGAAATTCAGAACAAAGAATGGTGGTTAAGTTTCAGTCCTCAGTTTGCCCCCTTATCAGAGGTCTGTGTGATGGTAGTTGGTATTTTCCCTCTTGTTGGGGGATTTGGGTTTCTGAAAAAAAACTGAAGAACATAGGTTAAGGCTTGGTGCCCCCAGCTCCGTAGTTAGGGCACCGGCCACATACGCTGGAGCTGGCAGGTTCAAACCTAGTCTGGGCCTGCTAAACAATGATGACAGCTACAACAACAAAAAAAATAATAGCCAGGCGTTGGGTGGGCACCTGTAGTCCCAGCTACTTGGGAGGGTGAGGTAAGAGAATCACTTAAGCCCAAGAGTTTGAGGTTGTTGTGAGCCATGATGACACCACTACTATCTGGCCTGAATGACAGAGCAAGACTCTGGCTCAAAAAAAAAATTATCTTCTGGTTTCTGTAGGGAACCAAAACATCTTATGACCCTAGCTTGCTTGGGAGACTGTTGTTTGTTACTATTTTTTTTTGAGACTGGGAAGTGTTAGCGAGGGTGTGTTTGCACAATATGCCTGAGGGTTTGTTTGTCTTCGTTTGTGTTCTAGTGTGTCTGTCTCCGTAAGCTGTTTGTGAGTATCTGTGATGAGTATGTGAGCATGGCTTTGTGTGGGCACCCATAGCTGGGAGTGAGGAGGATGGAGTCTTGGAACACAAAAAAACTATGAAATGAGAAGAGGCAACAAGATGGCACGTTTCTCAGTATCTATTTCTTTTCCTTTTTTTTTTTTTTTTAAATCATAGCTGTGTACGTTAATGCAATCATGGGGTACAATGTGCTGGTTTTATATACAATACAATTTGAACTGTTTTTGTCAAACTGGTTAACATAGCCTTCAAGGCAGTTATTGTGTTAAGACATTTATATTCTACACCTAGTAAATTTCACACGTACCCTTGTAAGAAGCACAAGAAGCACAGTAGGTGTGGTCCCACCAATTACTCTCCCTCCACCCATCCTCCTCCCTCCCCTCCCCTCTCTCTCCCCTTTCCCCTTCTTTTTGGGCTATAATTGGGTTATAGCTTTCATAAGAAAGCTATAAATTGGTTTCATAGTAAGATTGAGTACATTGGACACTTTTTCTTCCATTCGTGAGATACTTTGCTAAGAAGAATGTGTTCCAGCTCCATCCATGTTCAGTATCTATTTCTTTATTTTGTGTGTTCTTAAATCAAATTTGTCCATGCAGATGGTCAAAAATGCCAAATGGTGCTATAGTCAATGGTAAAACAAAACATAGCAGTCCGGCTTGTCTCCTACCCCATGACCGCCCTCCCCTTTCTCAGAAGCTGCGGCCTGGGCTGTTTCTCCTGGTGTTTTGTGACTATATTTCCAAGTAATCTGCATGTCCTGTCCTGCCCGCCTTGATTAATCCGTCTTAGGCATTGTCTGTTTTGGTACCCTTCCACTCAGCTTCATTTCACTCTCTCTCAATCTCTTCGTCCAATCCATATGCTCAGTTTTATATCACTACTATTATGTAGTAGTGATGTATTTTTCACTACTAACCCAGGCAGGGTAACATCATTATTTCTTTTCTTGTGTGATTTTTGTTTTTTCTGGACCTTTGCCCCCCATTCTGCCCTTGCTTGGTTTTTCTATGCTTATCATGGCTACATTTCCTACATGTCCACTGGCCTCAAGTATAATTTTTGATGTGGTCAAATTTGCTGGTTCTTTTTCTCCCCAGATTCCTCTCTCCTGCCTGCCTCATGGCTGCCATCCCGGGACCTCTTTGTCCCTCTCCTGTGCTGGGCCCTCTGGCCTCTCTGTCTTTTCTTCGCTTCATCCTCCCCTTGTTTGCTTGCCTTCCTGAAAAAGCCTGAACAAAAGGAAAAATTCCCCGGAGAACTTGCACGTCTGAAAATGCCTTTATTCTGTCTTCTCATTTGATTGATGATATGGCTGAATATAGAGTTCTAGGTTAAAAATAATTTTCCTTCAGAAGTTTGAAGGCATCTCACCAGTGTCTTCTGGCTTCTGATGTCACCGTTAAGAGGTCTGGTTTCATTCTTATTCCTGATCTTAGTATATATCTGTTTTTCCCCAACTTCTGGGAGTTTTCAGGATATTCCTTGTAACCCTGATGTTCTAAAATTGCCTGAAATGTCTTACTCTGGCTCTTTTCTTTCACACGTTGTATATTAGAGGACTATTTCAATCTACAGACTTTTTTTTTCTTTTTTGTGACAGGGTCTTGCTCTGTCACCTAGACTAAAATGCAGTGGCATGATCATAGCTTGCTGCAGCCTCCGACTTCTGGGCTCAAGAGATCCTTCTGCTTCAGCCTCCCAAGTAGCTGGAACTACAGGCGTGCACCACTGTGTCTGGGTAGTTTTGAGTCGAAATGAGGATCTCGCTATATTGCCCAGGCTGGACTGAAACTCCTGAACTCAGGCAATCCTCCCACCTTAACGTCCCCAAGTGCTAGGATTACAACAGTGAGCCACTGTGTCTGACCTCAATCTATAGACCTACATTCATCAGTCCTGCAAAGTTTTTCTGCTTATTTATTTATTTATTTTTTGGTGTAGTTTGGCTGAGGCCGGGTTTGAACCCACCACCCTCAATATATGGGGCTGGCGCCCTACCCACTGAGTGACAGGCGCCGCCCTATTTTTTGATAGTTTTCTCTTTACTACATTCTCTCCTTTCTACAGTTTCTCTTGGTTAAACATCCATTTCTGGAATTGATCCTTGAAACTCATCTGTCTTCTGTTGTCCATCTCTTTTGCAGTTTTTATTGTTAGTTTGCTTGCTACTATTGTTCCACTTTCTGGGAGATTTTCTCAACCTTACATTCATAATGTTACTGATTTATTTCTACTATCATAATTTTAATTTCTAAGAGCTCTATATTATTTCCTTTCTTTTCTTTCTTTCTTTCTTTTTTTTTTTAGATAGAGTCTCATTGTGTTGCCCTGGGTAGAGTGCCCTGGTGTCACAGCTCACAGCAACCTCAAACTCTTGGGCTTAAGCGATTCTCTTTGCTTCAGCCTCCCATGTAGCTGGGGGCTGTAGGTGCCCACCACAGTGCCCAGCTATTTTTTTAATTTTAATTTAATTTTATTTTTTGCAGTTTTGGCTGCGGGCTGGACTTGAACACACCACCCCCCGTATGGGGCCAGCGCCCTACTCCTTGAGGCACAGGCACTGCCCAATCCCCAGGCATATTTTTTGGTTGTAGTTCTCATTGTTGTTTGGCAGGTCCAGGCTGGGTTCAAACCTGCCAGCTCTGGTATATGGGGCTGGCGCCCTAGCCACTGAGCTGCAGGCCCCAAGCCT